ATTGAACACGGTCTTTTGATTCAGATTAACAACTACGGTGAAGACGGATCCTCCCTAGAAGCTACGTAAAGGTACGTGTTTGTTGATGTCTGTCTTTGGCTTCCCCTGTCGCAATTCAATCACCTCGAGTGATGATAACTATATACCTAAATAAATTCTGTGGAACCTCAGCTTTAATCGGAGATCTTGTATGTGCAAGCTACGATAAGTAATTAAGGGTACTTTTATCTTGAGTTCTGTGCCAATGTCCGTTAGCATTTTTTCGCTTAAGGGGTCATTCTAGATGCTTCTTATGAGACTGTGTTTGTTTGGGTAAAAATGGTTTTATATCGGTCAGGGTAGGCTTGAGGATTAATTTCCGTTATCTGGTGATAACACCATTAATTAGGTTCTTAAATATTAATCCCCTGAGACACAGTGTCCTGAAAAAAAACCCCAGGGTCCCCGTTTTTGTTCCTGCAGAGAATGCGTAACACAAAACCCAAAGGTTGATGCGGTGGAGCATTTTTATGCAGGCCTTTCAATTGTTGAGGTCAAACACATTCGTGGCAAGGGACCAATTGGTTGGCTGATGCATTGTCGCGCTTGTAATATGTAGCCTGGTTGCTTGGGGTGGAGTGAGTGGTGGAGCACGCTTGGTCGACTGAAAGCGATTGTTGTGATTGTTTTGTTTTCTGTAACAAAAAATTCACTAACTCATGGTGGGGGTGTAACGTGCTGGGGTGTGTTTTTCTCTGTCTTCCTCTGTGCAGGTACACCTGTTCCGCTCCTGGCTCCGCCTTCCCCAGGTGTCCTTTTGATGACATTCAGCTGGGGGATGAATTTAAGAGGAGAAAGCTGAAGGAGGAAGAGGTCTCTTTTCCGTCTGAAAGGACCGAGGGGATGAGGACCGTTGGTTTTCCTCCGTCCTCGTGTGGATATACATAATTTAGGCTGTATTTTATTGTGTTGGAACTCTGGAGGATGTTAGCCATAGGTTTTTTTCGCGGGCTTTGTTTTCCTCCCCAGTAGGGCTTGTGGCTTGGGACCTCCTGGGTAAGAGGAGGAGTCTGGGTCTACGGCCCCCATGGTGGGCTGGGCCCAGGCCCCTTCTTCTTTTTTATTTTATTTTACGCTGTTCCTCCAGATTTGGTTCCTTTCTGCCGGTAGGCATGCATATGAGTTACGGCTGTGCTTACAATAAATGGCCCGTCGTTTTAACTAAATTTTCTTGTGTTTGTTGCGTGGTTGGTTTATGTTGCGGGATCTTCCCCACGAAGCCACTACCGCTTGGTAGAGGGACGGGACGTAACACATATGCTGCCACATGTTTTCTTCAATCTCATTTTAATACCTTCTTCTGCTTACCATATACAACGTTATTCTCGCAAGGAAGTCAAATACAACCAAGACGTTGAATTCTTTAACGGACTGTTTAAGACACTTTAACTCCTCCGTGCCTCTCTTCTATCTCTTGTACCGTTGCATCCTTGTTTGCTCTCCTCAAAAGTCTTCATCCTAGTGTTAAGGTATCGGAGGGTCCAGCCACCGAGTATGTTTTTGATGTTTCTCGTCCAAAGTTACCAGACTTGGTTTTCGTCATGGCACCATAAAAGAGCAGAGCGAACTCCTTCTCCACGGTCATCCCTCTGGGTCTGTTCGGGGGGCCCCTCGCCTCGCTGCAGCAGCTCCCGCGGCCTGCAAGGATTACCAGAGGCCTCCAGAAGGAACCACTGTTACAGATCCTGAAGATAAACAGAGGGAATCTTGCCCTGTCAGGGAAACATCTTCCACTCTTTCAAACATGTCCATTAAAAAACACCACACAAACAGTGACTTATTTGCTTTCCATTGTGAATGCAACAGGAAGTATGTACCTTAATTGAAGTCCCACATTGGAGAAGTGTATGCATAAGATATACAGGTTAGGATTCAATGGAACCCGGACCAAGAGCTAGGGAACATTTTCCCATTCAGTCCCCAATATATTAACCTAGAGGCAAAGGAAGACATAAAAAACCGACAAATCATTTAGTTCTGAGTAAAAGGCCCAGTGTTTCCCAACCCTTTAGTTAGAAAGCAGCAGCAAACATTGTAGTTTTCTTGTCAAATGACTCACCCAGGTTTGACAGGGAAATGGGTGTGCACCGCTGGCCTTCACTCCATGTGCACTTATCGAGGTACGGGCCTGTTTAGCGTTGGTTTCTGGAAAGGTGATCCACGATCTTGCTCTCCTACTTGCTTTGATTTATTGGGACTACAGGGGAAGAGAAAATCTGTGCTTCTACTGTCTTTTCTTTGGGTTAAAAAAAAAAAAAGGCATGAAGAACAGCTAAAGCTTACCCCATAATTCCCAAGTGGTTTGTTGTTCTGGGCTGGTCGTTTCTTCTTAACAGTGGAAGCTTTCATCGGGTGTATTTCTCTGTACCACCACCTTCTTATAAGCCGCGGAAAGCCAATTTTGTTTCCCCCCTCCCACCAAACAATATTTGCCTGTTTGACTTGGGAGACCATGTAACAATTTTGCTTCCATTAACCAGAACAGTAATTAAGTTCACCGCCACTAATCACAGGCTCCCAGCGTCACACTCTGAAATACATCATCCTACCAATTATTCTTACGCACATACCTGTCTTCTAATGTGCCGTGGGTGGTATCTTCCCTGCTCCCAGGTCTCTCTTGGGTGAGAGAGAAGTCCCCACACTATTTTCATTCAGCCACCTTATAAAATACTTGCACAATTCCTCTGGTCGGGCCCTCCTTTGATGTGGAGCTCTAGTTTGTGTCTGGGACAGAGTCCACTCTGTACTGCTGGCCTCATGTCCGGCTGAGAAATGGTCCGCCCACTCTTGGCAGCTCACCTCGTGCACACCTGAAAGGAATAAAGGGTCCAGAGATGGCAAAGTACACACATCCTTTATCAAGTAGAAGTATAGATAATCGTGTTAAAAAATACTCTGGTAAAAGTAGAAGTACTGTGACTAATTACTCAAGTAAAAGTAAAGAAGTATGGGCTTCGAAATGTACTTAAGTAAAAAGTACCCATAACTACCAGCTGTTTTAAAGAGTAACTGACCCCGCTTTATATGAATAGAACAATAATGTAATTGTTAGCTAATGAATATTTCGATGCTGAACAACGGCAAAATGACAGCGTTTTCATTGGTCCCTCTTAGAGAAGACCAGGAAATGATGGATACACGGATCGTGTTAAAATCAATATGACTCTAAATAATAATGATCACACCACCAAACACAGATTAAGTAACCAGCCTGTTTTGATACTGATACCAGAAAAATATACTTAAGTACAGTAACGAAGTATTTCTACTCCACTACTTCCCACCTCTGAAGAGGATATGGTTTGGACACATGAGGATGGATTTGTTTGTGGCTTGACTGTATGGATTTTCAGCTGAAACACTCCATTATGCCCTTAACATTTGTACTGTAGCTCTCTCTATACACTTGAGTGTTACACTTCCATTCCATTTCTTGTTTTGCTATATTTAGCAGTTTTGGTTAAGCATGAAACATGTGTGCAAGACTGCATATTTTCACACTGTTTTTGCACAATATTAAATTGTTCTGTGCTATTTGGGCAATCTTAAAGTCACCATCCATTTAAAAATGGGTTTCATTCATCGTTGATGATGTTTAAGCTTAAGTGTGCAGAATTATGTTTGTTTGAAAATAAATATTTCCGAGTCTGGTTTATTTAGCCTATGTTATTTTGTTGATTTAACCCTTTAAAGAAAAAACACATCAGATAGACATTATTATTCTTATCAGAGTATATTAGTTATGCCTAAAAAACATGACAAGGATTTTAAAAGGTGACTTCAACATTCAGTATGGCCTATAATTTTAACCTTATTGATCTTTGGACTCCATTCTCAACTTTCTATTGTATAAATTAGCAAATACAATATCTTAACGTCAAATGCACAATTTGTTTATTTGTATTGGAGGTGGTAACAGTACAAGTCATATTATTATTATTATTACTATTATTATTATTATTATTATCATATATTCAACTTTATTTACCTATTCTGGTGAAAAACCTTTTGAGAAACTATTTTTTTTCACAATTCTATATTTATTACTACTTAAAGTAGTCTAGACTTGCAAAGTACTGTGGAATTGTCCTTGAACTTGGAGCACTGAAATTCCTCCTTGTATTCTAGTTATTAATGTTTCCTGCTGTGAAGTGTTGGAAGTGGTGTACACGTCAGAGGAAAACATTCACAGAGGGTCCTCTAAGGATGTTTGTAAAAAACAAATCTGTCTGTCAAGCAAAACCTAAAATACTCTTAAAATCTATTTGAGGAAAGGAACTGTGTTTTTAAGAGGCAGAACAGTGTTTTTGACCATGTGTGTGTGATATGACTAACCAGGAGTGTTCGGCTGCATGATGGCAGTAGCAGTTGTGTGAGGGAACAGGTTGATAGTGTCTCGTGTCGTGCTCTGCTTCTTGAAGGTGTTCCCCTCGAAATAAACACCGTGGATGTCCGCTTCTGTACCTAGCCCAAACGTGTACCACACAACTTTGTCCCCGGCGCACATCTGCAGTCCCTGGAGGTTCCCATACATGCGTCCGTTGACAGCTAACATGGAAAGGACGATTAGAACAAAAAATGTAGAGACAAGTGAGAAAATCCTGAAGAAGTATTAGGGTTAGAACTCAAAATATAGTGCTAATGTTACATGACCTACAATCAATCAATGAATTCAATTAAAGACAAAATGCGGTTCTGGTACCCGTTCATTACCATGCATCAAATTGCTCTCCACAAAGTCTTCATCTTCAACATCTGTCTCGTTGCTGCCAAACTTCTCGATGTTCTCGTTGATGTACCAGCTCAATCTTTCATCCATGACAGAAAACAGAAGGAAAAACTCCTTATCCACACCCTTCTGTAAAAAAAATGAACACAGCGAGAGTAATGATGAGTCGGGGATGCACTTAATTGCAGTCAACGGCATGAAAACTTTTATTTTGTTCTCAACTTATAGGCAATGGCTCAATTTCCCAACAAAGGTCCTTCAATCACCTAATCACAACAGAGCTGTGGCTTTTAATTTAATCTATTTCAATTCACCTGGGTCCTGTTCTCCCCCAGCGTTCCCTTCTTGCACACGAGCAAAGGTCCCATCAATCCAGAGCTGGTGTCCCTGATGGGATCGGTGGCAGAGTAGTACAGGTAGGGGATGCACGCAGAATCAGATGGAGAAGGACCCTCTATCACCTGCCAGGTGTAGGTGAACTTTTGCCCTGGAGCCACGTGAGAGCCTGGCTTATCAACACCTAAAGCATTTCACACAGAGAACTAACTGTTTGAAATAGGCTTTTTTCAGTCAAAATCTGTTTTTTCTTTTGCATGACAATCCTTCACTTGACTTGGCATGACTTTTATTTTTTAAGTTAAGTCTTATTTTTGAAGGTGCAGATAGTTGCATCCCTTTATGTTTAATCTTTAAACAGTTGTTCAGGCAGGGATGTATTCTCCAGTCTGGAAGCAATATTCATGCAAACAAATGCCTCAGTCAATCTGAATGGTTAATCATCGGATATTGCTTAAAAAATCTTCTATGACTGTATACATGTGAAAAACTGAATACAAAAATAATAAAATAAATAATCATCTTCTTCTCTTTTTACTACTCAAGTAAATTAAACAATTTAAAGATGTTATAGCAGGTAAGGTGCAGCCAGTATCTGTGTGCAATGCTTCCTCACCGTCCTCATAGCTTGTTCCCTGGAAGTGTTTATTGTAGTGCAGGCCGTGAGGCTGGATGCTGAAGTTCCTATCAGCTTTATTCATGAAGGTTACTCTGAGAGTGTCTCCTTCCTCTGCCCTTAGGACTGGACCTGGACAAATACAGAAGAACATTTTCATTAGGCAAGAGTTGTTGTGAGGTGCAAAGCAAGACACAAGTGTACCAGTAAATAACAAACTGGAATTTGCTAAAAAGAAAGAGACCTTACCTAAGATTCCTAAGTGTAGAGACTCAGGTGTTGGTTTCAGTTTCAACGTGGTGAACGTATCGTCTGTGTATTCCTCGTATATAACTTTAAGGTATTCACCTCCAATCCTCCCGCCAT